CCTACAGTCAAATTTTAAATAAATAAAGCATTAAATATTTTTGCATCCAAACATAAAAATTTTTCCCCTGAAATGACAGGCTAAAGCTGTGTGGTCATTATGCTGTTTTACCAGGATGGCTGTAGGCTTGGGGCCTACTAACATTTGGCAAGCTGATTCATGGAGCCAAAGGGACGCAGGGAAGTTCTCTGAGTGGGACTGGGAAAGCTGACTCCACTCTTCATCGTGTAGGGTCAAAGAATAGTCTGTACAGAGTGCCCAGAGAGAGTTAGAACTTAAGCTTTCCAACACTCTGGGAGAGATTGACAGCTGGAGTTGTGCCTGGACATATTTAATTCATGACTCATCTTCTCCAAGAGAGAAAATGGTTCATTTCCTCCCTGCCTGGCTCCTGGTCTTGTTCCCTACTTTCTGCTACTGTCTTCTGTGTTCAGAGTGATGCTTTTCCTCAAACTTCAGTGTTTCTTAAGTCACTTTTTCTCTTTTCAGATACCAACTTGGGATATTTATCCTTACTTGATGCTGACTATGACAGAAAACCTCCAAACAAATATTTTACTAAATCAGTGAACTATACAGTACATTTCCAGTGGATCCAATGCCTGTTTTGGGATATGAAGGAGTGGAAATCTGGGAGGTTCTCTCCACAACCAGGAACTTTTCCAGGAAAAGTGAACTGCAGGTATAGCTAAACATAAGCTTGAGAAAGAATTGAGGTTTTTTAAGTGACTGCATTTTCTGTTTGTTGCAATTCCTAGAGCCTCGCTATCCTTGCCACCCTATAAATCATAAGGGGTCTCAGTTTATGTGACTATGAGCTCATGCCTCTTATACTACTCTGTCTGTAAAATTGGTCTTCCGACCATATTTCCCCCTGTGGAGATCAGGGTCTGGTTTTAAGGTCCTCTTTATATCTACTCCTCTCCAAGGCTACTGACATGTAGTAGGTGTTCAGCAAATAATCTGTTTGACAAATGACTCCTCGGTGAATCATAGAATCTGGTGAGGATGGTGTCCATGGTTCTAGATGCCCTGGCATTCCCTTGGGATAGACCTAGTCAGGCAGGGACCTGTGCGCTCACCTTCCCTGTTACCTGTGTGCCCCACTTCCTGGTCTCCCTTACAGCATGCTGTAAGGGTGAATTTCATGATACAATGAAACTTCTATACAGATTGTTGGCAGGACTTCTCAAGAATATTGGAGTTTATCTGTTGTGTCATTAAATTAGAAATTATCATTTAGCTGAAATGCTGTTATCATTGTTTCTACTTTTACATTAGAATACAGAATAAGTAATTATTAGCTATGCATAGTTATTGAAACTGTCATTTCGTTAATAAAAATTATCATATGACACTGTACTCTATAGCTGCCTGTTAGGAGGCAAGTATGTCCAGATCATATTGGTGTAATTCATTATTTATTAGTGCATCAACCCCATCAGCTTTTCTGTATTACACCCTACTCTCTGCTAGGCATTTTTTTTAGAAACTAGAGGTACAAAAATGAATATAACATGAGATCTACTCATAAGAAGATAAAAGAGAGGTAAAATAAAAACAGCAGTCTTCATAGTGGTTGTTGGGGCAGGAATGACCAAAGGCAACATTCTGATAATACCAGGACAAGCTTTTCAGGGGCCAATTCACAGAATCTGGCTGGTAGCTGAGGCAGCATTGTGCAGTGATTTGAACCTGAGAATCTCCTGGAATGAGCTGGACTGTAGTGGGCATCACAGAGAGATCTGCATACACTCCCAGGTCCACTGTGAGGACAACCAATGTCTCAGGCAGCCTCAGAGACTCGGTTGTGAGGGCGTCTTGCCTGTGGCCAGAACTGAGGCCCCTCTTTGACTTATATTTTATCTGAATACTTTAAACTTAATCTGAGTCGCTGAGTTGTAATTAGTGGAGCTTGGCATCCTTTTCATATTTCCCTCACCCAGGGTACCATCACCCTGCAAACAACTGTTCTCCCCTCATTCTGGGTCCTAATGAGCATCTTCCTCCCAGCTATGATCACCTGGCCACATTTGCTGTTTTAAGGAGAAAGCTGAACGCCAGCTTTGAAATGAGCGACGTTTCCAAGTTCCAGAGGTAAGCTCTGTTTTCTAAATCCAGTTAAACTTTTATTTGTATGGCTGCCTCCTTGAGATACTCACTATATTATCCATTAGATTCTTGAAATGTGTGTTACTGTCACTCCCTTTTGAAAGATGCATATTAGTCGATTATTGTCTTTAATTATATAGTTACCTTGTATCTTCCTATTCTTTCATTGACTGATGGGAGATTTACAAACATAAGGAAGTTTACAAACAAACACAATATACTTGTGTTGCTTTTAAGTGTACCGCTCATGTGAGTGGCACAGTGATTTTCAACTGGGTTAGTGTCCATGTGGCAATACTGCCTATTTGCCTGCCCTGGTTTATAGTTATTTTTCCCTTTCTTTTAAAAAATATTCAGTGTTAAGCAACAAATTTAAAATTCACCCTATTTTATAGTTTTGAAATACAGGTAATTGCACTTCACTTTATGTGCTTTACTTTATTGCATTTTTTGATTTTACAAATTGGAACTTTGCCAAAACCTGTGTTACACAAGACTATCAGCACCATTACTCACAGCGTGTGTCCACTTCCTGTCCCTCTGTCATATTTTGGTAATTGCTGAAGTATCTCTAATATTTTTATTACTATTTTTGTCATTTTCCCTAGTTGTTTTTTTTTTTGTTTGTTTGTTTTTAACATCTGTTTCATCAGTATCCTAATTTTATTCATTATTGTTATATCTATGTATTGATCTGTGATCGGAGATCATTGATGTTGTTAATGTCATTGTTTTGGTGTCCCACAGCCCATGCCCACATGACAGTTTAGTAAATGTTATGTGCTCTGACTGTCCTTTACTGGTTGTTTCCCCACCTCTGTCCTCTTCTAGGCCTCCGTATTTCTTGAGACACAACACTACTGAAATTAGGCCAAATAAATATAGCCCTATATAGCCTTTAAGTGATCAAGTAAAAAGAAGATTGTGGGTTTCTCCTTTAGATGGAATGCTAGAAGTGACTAAGTGGGCCCTACCTGGTGGCATGTCAGTTTAGGACGCAGTACTGTGAGCGAGCAGCAGCCCCTTCTGTGTGAGTTCAATCCCCCGCCCCAGAGGTGACCCACATGGTGCGGCAGACCTCTCCTGACCCGCCCGCTGCTCCCCTCAGCAGTGTACTTCATCGATCTGCCTGTTCTGCTCCCCACTCTGTCTCTGGTGAAGCCTCTCACTGCCCCTGCGCCTCTGGCCTATATGCCAGTTCTGTATGCATAAATAAATCTTTAAAAAAAAAAAAGAAAAATTATTAAGCTCAGTGAGGAAGACATGTTGAAAGCTGAGCTAGACTGACAGATAATCCTCTTGTGACCATTAGCCAAGTTGGGAATGCAAAGGAAAATAAAGTTCCAATAAACACATGTAAGATAAGAAATCAAAATGGCCAATGCTGATAGAAAAAATTTTAGGGGTTTGAATAGGTGATTAAATCAGCTACAACAATCCCTCAAACCAAAAGCAAACCCAGAGCAAATTCCTAACTTTCGTTAATTCTGTGAAGCTGAAAGAACTGAAGAAGCTGCAGAAGAAAAGTTTGAAAATAGCAAAATTTGGTTCATGAGGTTTAAGGAAGGAAGCAGAATCTGTAATATAAAAATGCAAAGGGAAGCAGCAAATGCTGATGTGCTCATTTCAGCAAGTTATCTAGATCTAGTTAAAAATAATTGGCAAAGGTGGCTACAGACTAAACAACATATTTTCTGTAGACATGGCCACCTTGTATTAAAGATGTCATCTAAGAATTTCTAGCTATGTCTGGCTTTGAAGCTCCAAAGGACAAATTGACTGTCTTTTTAGGGGTTAATACAGCTGATAATTTTGAGCTGAATGATAGCACATTTGTTTATAACATGGTGTGTTAAATACTTTAAGTTCACTGTTGAGACCTACTACACAGAATAAAAGACTTCTTTCAAAATATTATTGTTCATCGACAATGCACCTGGTCACCCAAGAACTCTGGTAAAGACGTACAAGGAGATGAATATTTTCATGCCTGACAATATAACATCCATTCTGCAGCCCATGGGTCAGGGAGTAATTTTAATTTTCAAGTCTAAGTACCCAAGAAATATATTTTGTAAGGCTATAGATGACATAAATAGTGATTCCTCGGATGGACCAGGGTAAAATAAATTGAAACCCTTTAGGAAATAATTCACCATTCTCCATGACCTTAAGAATATTTATGTTACATGATAAGTCAAAGTACCAGTACTAACAGGAATTTGGAAGAAGCTGATTCTAACCCTTGAGAGGTTCAAGACTTCAGATGTGGTAGAAATAACAGTAAGAAATAGAATTACAAGTGGAGCTTGAAAAAGTAACTGAATTGGAATCTTGTGCTAAAACTTGACCAGATGAAGAGCATCTTTTGGATGAGCAGAGAAGATGTTTTTCTGAGATAGAAATTTACTGTGGGGAAGATGATCTGAGAGCACTGTTGAAATAACAACAAAAAATCTAGAATAATAGATAACTCATGTTGATAAAATAACATCAGGTTTTGAGAGATTTAACTCCAATTTTGAAAAAAAAATCTACATTTGGATAAAATGCTTTTACACAGCATAACACTAATGTCAAAAACTTCACTGCTGTCTTATTTTAAGTAACTGCCATACTCACTCCAACCTTCAGCAGCCACCACCCTGATGAATCAAGAGCCATCAGACTCTGCAACACCCTCCACCAGCAAAATAATTACAGCTTGCTGAAGACTCACATGTTGAGAGCAGCTTTTAGTAATAGTTTGTTTTTATTAAGAAATATATTTAGGCCCTCCCTGGTGGCGCAGCGGGTTAAAAGCACAGCACTGAGAATCTAAGACCGCTTCCACATGAGTTCGATTCCCACCTGCCCCGGAGGTGACCACATGGCGTGGCAGACCTCTCCTGACCCGCCCACTGCTCCCCTCAGCAGTGTAGTTCGTCAATCTGCCTGTTCTGTTCCCCACTCTGTCTCTGGTGAAGCCTCTCACTGCCTCTGAGCCTCTGGCCTGCACCCCAGTTCTGTATGCACAAATAAATAAATCTTAAAAAAAAAAAAAGAAATATATTTAGATATATTTAGACATGATGCTAGCACACTTACTAGGTGACAAGATAGGGCAAACATATTTTTCAGGCATCGGTAAAGCTGGACATCTTTATGGCTTTCTGTTTTGTGGTGGTGCAATGGAACCCAAACTCCCCACCCACACTTAGTACCAGGTTGGGCCATCCCAGGTGCTGACCCATTCCAGGTACTGAGTAAATGTTTGCTGGCTAACTATTGATTATAGATTCTATATTTTCTGCTGTGTTAGGAAACTCTACCTTATTCAATGAGTCATTCAACAGTTGGTTACTTTGTAGACTAGTAAGTGGATTAGAAAGTTAGTGATAGATGTTAGTTATTGGTGCTGCCAATGCTGGTCCAGGGAAGGGGCATCCCTGAGGATATCCAGCCAGAAGACACCTGAGGACACATACCTGGAAGGACAGCATCCCTTGCAGCACATGTCCCTTTGGAGTCCCATCAGATGCTCATACACCTGAGGCGAGGCAGGCCTCATCAATGAACCTGCTGTCATGAGCGACCTGATGTGGACGCCACCCTGTGGCATCTGGAGGGTTCAATGATGTCCTCCCAGCTAGCACAGGTTCCTGGAAACTGGAGGTGAGCAAGCTTCAGGGGAGAGGCACGCTCTTTCCTCAGAACCCCCTACACAGGGGTAAGAAGAGTGGAGCCAGCAGAGCATCTCCTGCTTCATTCTGCTGGGATAGAGAGAGCTTTCCTCACATCCACAGTCCATGGGCTGAAGCTCTTCACAGCAGAGACTTTTATCCAAATTTCATAAAGAAAATCTCTCAAAGGCCACGAGTCCCCAACAGGTCACAACGTTCAAATGCAAAATTGGTCCCTCACAAGGATTTTGTCTGGAGCCTGTGCTCCTGTGGTTCCTTTCGCTGGACTGTGTGGGACAGCTCCATGCCTCAGGGCCCCCCTTGGTTCTGCTCCCTCCAGCTGAGACGCACAAACCAGTCCTAATCACCAGAGGTTGCCCCACTCGGGCCACCTTTCCCTTCTCTACCATTTTCCTCATTAAAAATCTATTTTTTAAAAATAGACCTTTTTTCTTTTTTGTTGTTTTTTTCTTTTGTTTTTTGACAAATCTAATTTTTTGCCAAATTTACAAAACAAATGATTTACAAATAAGGTAGTGTAGGCTGACTGTGCATGTAGGTATCTGTGAGCGTGCGCCTGGGTGCGTTTCCCCTGTGTGTGTGTGCACCTCTCAGGGAACTGGTTGCCTAAGTGTTTCTTTTTGTGAGTAGTTAATTTTACTTTTTTATTTATAGGCACCCAGAAAATCTGCTTCCTGGCATTTTTGTGGTGGTTCTTGTAATTCTTTATGCATTTTTGGTGACTAAAAGCAGATGTGTAGATGATCGAGAAAAAAAGAAAATTGGTTACATTTTTCTGCAAGGGAACACTCCACCCAGCCACCAGCTGTATGCAGTGGTCGTTGACACAGGCTTCCGGGCTCCCTCCCGCTTTAGTGCAAAGGTAATTGGCATCTGGGACCCTCCTGTGGTGTCTGCAGGTGTGGAAGCTTGTGAGAAATGGTGGTTTGACCATTGTCTGTGTCAGCGTAACTTGTCACGGGAGTGATTTCTCTCTCCCTTGGGTCCTACCCTTCCCCAAGTTCCAGACGCCTCTAGTTCAGAATTCATTATAATGAGCTCATTTTTCATCACCCAGAGGTAGAAAGGGGTGAGGGTTATTCAGATTAACTTTGGGGACCTGCTGGTTGAGAATTTGGACATAGAGACAATTTTCCAGCGGAACTAAAGGAGGCTGATGTGGAGGGGAGGAACAGGCGGTACAGTGCAGCCTGGGATGGTGAGGTCTAGTCCATGGGCTACATAGAGGTCTTGCTCCCACCCTGAGGGGCAGGCAGAAGCTAGAGTGTCAGAACCAGTTGGGTGAATGGAGATGTGTGCTTCCATGAACCCCAAGAGGGTGAGCCCCATCTTTAGTCAGAACTCACATCAATTTCTTGAGGGAGCCATAGGAAAAGAGAACAGAGGGGGAGGATGAAAGATGGGAGGGAGGGTGAAGTGGGCATGAACTGGCTGGGTGGGGCAGATGGGTGTGTGGCAGGTGTTGAGTTTTGTGATCCTCTCTCACTGTAAGGCCTGACTGTCCAACTGTGTTTGTGTAGTCTGTCAGCGAGTCACATAGCCAAGTCTACTCACAGGCAGTTTGTACCACACAGAAGGAGATGCCCTTAAAGTATCAAGGGACACCTTCCTACAGCAAACAATGCATCTAATAGTGAAGCCTTCATAAATGGTTAAGGGTCTCTGTTTCTCTGTTCCCATAACTACTGTGATGTTCCTCATCACAGCCACAAAATGGTGATGTGCCTCAAGGGATAATCACCAAAATGTACCTTAGAGGAGAAAATTTGTCCAAGATGCTGATAAGAACTGAATGAAGGGCTATGCTTATTTGTTTATGGAAAAACTAATTTTGTTGTTATTTCTCCCAAATTAATCAATAATGATGATAATGATACTGATAGCAGCTAGCCAGCATGAATTGGGGCTTTGCTCTATGCCAAATTTTTTTTCCCTAACAATTAAAAAAAAAATGTTGAAATGAGTTACTTTTACATGCCTATTTTACAGATTAAAAAGACATAAAGAAATTAAATTCAATAAAATACAGTCAAAATGTCAGGAAAGTTTTTTGAGGAAACTTGAAAAAACTGATTCTAAAATCCACATGATTCTAAAATCCCAAGAATGTAAGAGAATTATAAGAATGGTCAGACCAATTAAAGAAAAAAACAGGACTAGGTCTCCTGAAGTCCAAAGCTGTACAACTTACTCTGAAGCAAAAGTAGCTGAATTCCAGCCTCCAGAACCATCATGGCATCTGGGAAACCTTAAAACTCAACATGGAACAGGGGCCATTCAGCTAAATATTTGGGGATGGTGGCTATTAAGTCTTTACTTCCAGAAGACTCAAGATTTAAAGGTGAAAAATACAATTTAGGAACTACATAATGAAAAATGTATATGTTTAGGGTAGAGAAAATTAAAAACCAGAAAAAAATAGGTAACTTTCTTAAAGGAAAGATTCATAGATCACAAGTCATCAGAATCGTATGTTTCATGTGACAATAGCCACGCTGGTAAGCCGCAGCCAGCCCCGCCCCAGGCCAGCAGCTTCCCATAGTGCCTCTCTCACACCTGCCCTGCTGGCCGTGAGCTCCATCAATCTCCCCACTGAGCTGACAGAGGCCACCAGCATCCACTGTCACGTTCTCTCACCTACAGGAAATGGCCTAGTAAATCCCTAGTGGTATCTAACTTTCCTAGAGCAAATATGTAGAAAATATGCCAACTCTAGGAAGCACTAATTCTGGGGTATCCTCCCAGGAAAAAGAAGGAGGGGCTGGCCAGTGGTTGGGGGTGCAGGTGCCCTCTGTCCCCTGGGTTCATGCTCTAGCACTTGGCCTTTCAGGGTGGTTTTGTGGCAGGATGGGAACTGGAGAAGGGACAAAGGAGACATGCTGGTGTAAGTGTCATGTGCTGAGTATCTTGAAGTCTTATTCCTGTATCTTTGTTTTGAGGTTTACATTGTTTTCTGTGGAGAAAATGGACTTTCCGAACCCAAAGAACTCTGTTGTCCAGAGAAGCCCCTGTTTGAAAGCAATTCCAGACACACCTTTATCCTGAGGTATTCCAAAATGGTCTGACTACACAATTGAGGACAGAAAGACCAGTCAAAATTGGTGTAGCCTTACCATAAATTAAAAATATAGACTATATACTATTACTTTTTAATATAAATTATTGATGTACATCCAATGTATTTTTGCACATTTTGAAGTATATTTGCATATTTTTCACATTTGAAGTGAAAAGTATATGTGAGGAAAGAAAAGAGGAAGGGGAAAGGAATTTACTGATTTTTCAAGCTAGGTAAGTTCATAACTATAGCATTTTCTATGTCAATTTGTCAATACACCTACTTAGTTGTTAATTAGATTGACCCCAAATTTGGAAGACTGGTGACTTACAGCAATGCAGGAAGTCAGATAATTTTCAAGATATAAATACAACTCTTTTCCAAAAATAGGAAAGAATCAAACTAAATATTCTCCCCTGAAAATTTTCATTTAAGATGTTTACTAGTTTGGGGAACTCTGTCTTCATTGAGATGCAATTAAACTCAAACTAATCCACAAGGGACACAAATACCATCATGTGCTGAATAACAGTTCAAAGACCCCTAGACAATGGCGGACCCATATACAGTTCTGTGTACAGCAGGCTACCCCGTCTCGGTTTGTTCAAGTGTACTCCATGGTGTTGTCACAAGGACAAAATGGCCTAATAACAGAGTTCCCAGAATTCCCATTGTTCATTGTGACTGTACATTACTGAAGCTTGAGTGACTTGTCTTTAGGGAAACTAGTAGATGGTGTAGAGTTGGTGGCCATTTGTTGACACGTCGACCCACCTCTAAGGGAGAGAATTGGGGTTAGCACTAAACCCCAGGACCCCACCAAACCCATGTGTACACTGCTGTGTGTCCTCAGTGCACCGGCAAGGCTGGGCCCTCTCCAGAAGATCCGGCTCTGGCATGACAGCCGTGGGCCTTCTCCTGCCTGGTACGTCAGCCACGTGATGGTGAAGGAGCTGTGCTCACAAGCGGGACAGAGCTGGTTCTTCCCTGCCGAGTGCTGGCTCGCAGCTAGCAGGGGATGGTCACGGGAACTCACCTGCCTGTGCAGGGGCCCAGGCTTCCGGAAGGTAAGATGGCATCCGCTGTCCCCCAGATAACATGGAGCCTGGCTCCACTTATCTCAGAAGCTGTTTCTCTAAATTCTTAAAGTGTGTTCATGTTGATTTCAAGACAGTCGCATTTTAAATGACACAACATTAAGTGACCATCCAAGCATGGAATAATTATCCTTTCCAGATATTAACCATTGCAGTAATGAATTTCCTCTTCTAATTATAACTATAATAGTATTTACAGATTTTTGATTATGTCTTTTGTGGGGTCCAAAGGACTTCTGATTAAAGACTTTTCAGTGCCTTGTGTATTTCTTGCACACCCTAGATAACTGATGACTCGAACACAGGTGTGGTGAGGGCAAAATGGCAGGGAATTATGAAAAAAGAAAAAAATCACTTATAATCGAGCAAATCAATTGTAAATCTTGATGCTTGCATGTTCCCACCTTTCCATATTTAAGAATATATTTTATACCCTTTTGATAATAAATGTGATAAGATGAACTGTACATTTTTTACATTTTCTATGTACAGGCAGTTTAAGAATTTTCTTTGAAGTCATCATTGAAAGGTCATATCATGGTGTACTGTACACTACTCTTTACTTAAGTATCCACTTATAATTTCCTTCCTTTAATTTTCATGATTGAAAACATTTTTATGCCTAACTTTGTGTTTCTGATGAACTGCTTAGGCTGGTCTCTACCAGGGATATGAGATCTGTGAGTGCTGACATTTTCCTACTTACTCTAGACCTTTCTTTCCAGTGCATCTCCATTGACACCTGCCATTGGTAAGAGGGGCAGTTTATACTAAAATTCCAGAGGTTTCTGCAAAAGTTTGGGTTTGTCTCACTCACTAAAAGCACAGCCAGGTAGGGCCGGTTGTGAAAGTCCTGGAGCACCTGCTAACACTCTAGAATAGGAGAGTCTCAAAATTATGGTCTGTCTGCTCAGAAAAGTACTGGTTGTCACCTAAAACTTCAGTGAGTTTCTCTTGCCTGTTTCTGTTTCAGCTTTTGTATTCAAAGTTCACAGAATACCTGGAGGACTTCCACACCTGGGTTTCCGTGTACAGTCGTCCCTCCTCCAGCGGCTTCCTGCACACACCGCGCCTCACTGTGGCCCTCACCTTGCTTTGCTCATATGCCTGTCTCGCTGCTCTAGTCACGGCTGTGGGACAAGACCAGGTGGGAGACACTGGCTTTCCTCAAAATCCTAGACCTGCAGTGTGACACCTTCTTCTCTAAGGAATCAGCAAAACTGATTCCCCACTATCACCCCAGTGTGAACTGGGCCGCCCGTCAGTGGGGCCTCACGCTTAAAATTCAGTTGCAATGCAAGGGCACACAAAAGGGTTAAAATGGGTTTATTTACAAAAGGGGAAAAGAAAAGGAAACAACAACTGAATATCTTACCGCCTGGGCTGATTTGGAGCTAGTAACAAACTAACTGAAAGCCACGAGTCATGTGACCCCGAGAGCCATTTCCCGAGCAAGAGAGCGAGACACAATGGGCCCTATTTATTCCCTGGTACCTGCTTAGCTCTGCCGTTGGGTCCTCACAGTTCTCTCCCTGGTGCTGCTGGGAGTTGTAGTTTCCCGTTGTAGTTTCCAATCACTGGAGTAGGGGGTAGAATCCAGAAAGCTGGAGTAGGGGGGGGAATCCACAAGACTCTGCAGAGTTCCTTTAGGACATCCTTCCCCTTAACAAAACTACATTCCTTGGAGAAAGGTTTTGAGTGGGAGATCCAGCCTGTGTTCATCGGTGTGCTGTAGGGGCTGGGGCTGGGGACAGGGGAGCAGCTTGGGGTCTGCACTGGGCAGACAAGCACTGGCTGCCTCAGCTGACCCCATGCGCTCCACAGCATGGCTTCTCCAGAGGGTGCAGCAGGCTGGTGGCCTAGGCAATTCAAATTTTGAAAACACTCTAACCAAAAGCCAAAACAATTCTGAAGGCCACCTTGCCCTTGAGATACCAGTTTGCAATTGATGGCATAGGTCTAATTGGTCCTCATAAGATGTAGAGATCATAAATCAGCATTAACAGCTAAAATGGAGGCCCTGCTTTCCTGAAGGAAAACTCACACCTGGAGGAAAAACACAATGTTTGAGGTAAGGGAAAACACTCAAATTTGCTTCTTAGGACAATCTCATAAGAAGAAAATGTGATGTTGATCCATTTCAGAGGTGTCACTCAATAGTGGGTCCTCCAGAGAGCACCCATGTTCAGAGTGCATCAGTGACAGTGACAGAAGCAAAAATTTTTGAAAAGAATAACATGGTGTGTATGTAAAATGTGTAAGCAAGTGATCAAGAAATGCAACCAAGTAGCCAGAAGAGAATAGCTGTGTCCACCTGAGGCAAGAGTGGGGCCGTTCTGGGAAACCGAAAGTCACCCTCCCTCCTCTGACGACACTCTCCTCTGGGCCACTAACCTCTTCTCTCCATGGGTGGTGCATTGGGATGTTGGTTCCTCCTTGTCAGACTGTAGGGACTATTAAATTAGTTGAACACGCCTGGCACTCAGAAAATCGAACAAACAGATTGATTTGTTTGGTTATTAAAAAAAAAAATGTTTCTTGTGATTTTTTTTTTAACGCCTGGGATGGACTGAGGGAGAGAGAACTTTATTTAAATATAAACAGTGTTTTCTATTGGACTTACTATCAGAGATGTAATCGCTGCTCTTGAATTACTGTAGCTCCTGAGGGGTGTGGACCCCACCCATATCACTCTCGGATCCTTCCAGATGAGTTTTCTGTGCACCCTCCTGGCTTCTCCAGGGGCCCAGCTCTTGTCATTGCTCTTCAGGCTCAGCAAGGTAACAGCAGCTCCCCTGCATGGCCCTCCTGGGTAGGGCCTCACTGCCTGAACAATCTCCTTCTGTCTGTAGGAAACAACCAAGCCTTCCCGAGCTCGGCCACCCGTACCCTTGAGAGAAGTGCAGACAGAGGTAGCTGTGGGTAAGCAAGCACTTTCAAATAGGTTTAAGGGCACCTTGTTGTTGTTTCTTTTAAAGTCATAGCAACAGGAAAACAATGAAATGTGAAAAGAAAGACACTCACCATCATCACAGCTGAACACATTGTATTCCTGATTTGCCATTGTATTCATTAGAAGGGTTTAAGAGCTTGCCCAAGACCACATCAGAATGCAATGCAAAAAGTCCCCTTTGCAGCT